AAATGGCTCTTCTTTGCAACACACCCCTATATGGTGTCTATGCGTGCAGGCGGTCTCACATGGATGAGCAGATGTTTAATGGTGCAGTGGCACAGAGGAAAAAACAAAGCAGATAAGAGGAGGATTCCTGAGTCACGGCCAACTGGGTAGTCGTGTGGCAAGAGGCTAAAAATGATTTTAGTCATTCTCCATATGCGACTTGTTTTTCAAGTACGTCAGCAATGCGCATACACCACCAGCCTGCACCTGCAGAAGGTTCTCAGTGTCTTAAATTTCATCCAGCAGACGAGTCGCCCTCGTCTTTTTTTACTCCATCTCCCCGTCCTGCTTGTGTCAGGATACGATTCCTGACAAGAGAACACTGATGCATGTTGAAAGCATGTCCTTCTGAGACGCACACACACACGCACTCGTGTCAGTTTTGCAGCTACGCTTTCACAGTTAGCGTGCGCTCTATTTTCTGAGGTAAGAATATGGGAGGATATTGTTTTTGTGCTTGAGACAGGCCTTGGCAGTGATGTATAGAACTGCACATTCTCTCCTTCTCTCTCATAAGAATGCAGCTTCCTGGGGGAGAGCAGATGGCTAAGCCCAGCTCGCCACCTGCAGGCTGCTGCCGGCACACCACGGGATTCGCTGTGGGAGCTGCCGGTGGCCCCGCGGGGTTGTTTTTTTGCCCCGCCCCAGCTTAGCCCTCACTGCTCCCAAAGGAACTGGCCTCCTGACAACGACTCACTGCCCAGGCACCATTACCAATGCAATAAACAAAGTAAAGAATGTGCCAAGTCATCAAGTAATACTGACACGTTATGTGTTTTGAGAATGTGCCAAATGGTCTCATGATGACACGTTTTAATAATACCTGAAGTTCTTTTTGTTTATTTTTTTAACGACTTGTTTGTACATGAATTATACATTAGCAAATGTTTTATGGATTTGTGATTCGTCCGAATCAGCTGGATGCTTGTGTACAGTCCGGTGCGGCTTTCGAGGGTTATTTTAAATCCTCTTTATTCCTCATTTCCCAAAGCACAGCGAGACGAGACAGGAGGAAGACGAGGGAAAAGTAAATAACGCTTGTTTCAGGAATTCCCGGTTTACTGCAGGTCTGTGACAACTGTACACAAGCGTCTAGATTTTTAATACGTTTAGGTTTCCTACTGAAGGATCGGGATTCCTTCACACTGGTTCCGTATAAGATACACCCTCATATCATATCTTCTTTATAAGAAGACTAGTCAGTGCACCTTTACGTTATTTGACAGCAGTTCGGTTCAAACGGCTGAGCATTCAACCTCTCCGGACCAGGACAAGTACATCACACAACTGGCACTCTGGAAAAAAAGGGAAAGTCTTTTGGTCTGATATGATTATGCAGGAAAAAATTAGCTAAAAATTTCTCCTTTTTGTGGCTGTGCAGCTTAATCATCAGCACGCGATTTCATCAGCTTATAAATGGCCAGAGTGCAAAGTGACTAGGTCCTAAAAAGAGTTAAGCTCTCCTGCGTATCCTGTACCAAGACGTTGATTTATGGTTTTGATAACTGCAGCTTATTTTTGTGGATGCTTTAGCACTTCTTACTTTGCCAGAGCATATTTGTGATGATAAACAGTTCACAAGTTCTGATACAGTTGTCTCAATGTGCTTGTGCAAGTAGTTCTATTTTTTACCAATAAAACTATTTTGTGAAAGCAAGCAGCGCGCCTGCTGGATGTTGTGTGCTTTTATGTGTGTGGCTGACGGGGACGGCGATAGCATTCATCTTCCTGCCAAATGTACAGATTGCTGGATGGTACAGGCTGTGCAGCGTGCAGGAGGGAAGGCAGGCTGCTCGTATGCAGCGCCCACCACTACGGCAGTGCGTCCAACAACAAGAATAAAAAAATAAAAAGGATTCTCTGAAAATGGCTCTTAAAGAAAGGGTTTTATAAAGCTGCTCCCAATCTCCTCCAGTTATTTCTTAGTGATGACATAAGCGAATACACAGAGGAAGCAACAACGACACTTCTGGGAGTTGAAGGGAACGCGAGTTATCCGAGTTGGCTGGTTTATCTGGCACAAAGCGACGAGTTTAACGACATGTAAACTCTTCTGCCAACTGGTGGAAAGAAGAACATTTTTTGCCATTTTATCACATTTTTGCTAGAAAAAAAGGATCCTTAGACCAACTGATCAATCAGATTAACTGAAGATGGACTAGTTTACTCCTCCGCTGCAGACCACACTTCTTTGTCCCAGTTCTTTAATAATTAATCAGCGCTATGAAATGGTATTTACCCCATTTCTCATTTCTTATTGTTGCAGATTTGTCACATTTACACGTTTCAGATCAAACAAATGTTAAAAACGTAATTTCCCTTTAACCTAATAACTGGTTGTGCCACCTTTAATGATAACCAGCAAGGAGCCTGTCACATGCCTGTGGAGGAATTCGCAGAATTGTTTGCATTCAGCCACACTGGAGGGTTTTCCGGCATGCACTTCCCGTTTCAGGTCACGCCAAAGCGTCTTAACTGGATTTGAACCCAGACTGTGATTATTTCACTCCAAAACGTTCGTTTTGTTGTTTCTGAGCCGCTCGGATGTGAGTCAGACTGAGACGAGTGAGGCC